AAAGAGGATACACATTTGTATTTATTAATGCCTAAATGAAGATTTTTAGAATTATGTTCTATTACTGTGGGGTTTTTTCCTCCAGAAGACTTTGGAAGCCTTTCACCTCATTATTTTGCCAAGTGTCTCAACTTGAACCATTTATTTAGATTTCTTTGCTCCTCTGAAGACTGGTAATTACAGGACAATGACATTTAGTGACCTTTGGTATGGTTCATTTAGTCCAGCGTTGAATGTGTAAGAAGATGCTTACTCCTAAGTGCAGATTTTGTTTGGTGTTACAGAAATGCACTTTCTTCTCTGCAAAATTGTTTATTCAGAAGAAAAATCCTTTTATTTTTACAGGAGTCTCAACTAGGGCATCTCTGAACAAGAGACTCTAGACTGGTGACTGAAATTGTTTAGAAAATACTAATTACATGTGTGAGTTGCTGTATGCATAAGCCTGTGCCAGACTCATTCAGACTTGGTACTCTGAACAGACAAAGGTAGTCTAAGATCAGGTAATCTCTAAAAATGCTGTGGGTTCACACTACCTGATTTCAAAGAGCAAGCTTGTCTTTCTAAATTAAAAAAAAAAGTCCCTGATGTCAAGAAGGACTTATACTGGGAACGTAAGAGGAATACAGATGGTTTATATTCACACTAGCTGGGCTAGTTTCCTCTAGAGCAGACTCCTGTGTTCACATCCCACAGTGCTCCTTGGACTCCTTCTGGTGCCTCTCTAGAGCCAACATGCAATTCTGATTTTTCTGTGTTATCTTCCAGTTTGAAGTTTGTGAAATGGTGTGAAACTGTCCTGCAGGCTGTGAGGAGAGTGCTTTCCTAGCAGCAGAGGGAGGGTACGTGCTGCACGTTCTGGGATGCGGTAGCTTTGAGGGCACAGCCAGCTTGGGTGGTTTAGAAGACCACATCTTGTGAAGTCAAGCAAGATGTGACCTTGGGAGCGGTGCTTGGTGCTGTCCCTGCAGCAGTGGGAACATCGCTCTCAGGAGAGCTTCTGGAGGTGTGGGAGCAGCAGCAGGGGCCTGAGCTTTGCTCCCAGACTGCCACAGTGACAACGTGCCCAGAGGGATCCTGAACGTCTCTGAACGTCTCTGCTGCCGGCGCGACCTCGGTGTGGTAAAGCCCAGGGTCCTGGTTTCACCTGCCAGAGTTACACAGGTATTTTCACTGCAGAATAAATGCAGCACTGGTAAAGAAACACGAGGCTTCTCCTGCATCATTTCCACAAAGTCATGAGTTAAATTCTTGGTTGTTTTGAGACAAAACACTCACCCAGTTCTAACAATTCAAGCTTTTGTCCCTGGACTGGACAAGGCCTGGCTAGGCACTGTGAGGGTACTAACCACTGCTGCTCTTCTCTTCACAGCCCATGGTGTCACCTTTCAGCCTTACCGGGTTCACTTCAAATCCATCTCAAACATATATGGCCATATAAAGCCAGTGAATTGTAACCTCATGCAGCCAAAACTAGAGTGGTTTTTTTTCAGTATTTTAATACAAATATATGTTCTAGAAAGGCAATTTCTCTGTCATTTTTCTGATCTCTGCTTATGAGGAATTTTCCATGAATTTTATTTGCTCTTGTGCTTCTACTCTAAATAGGAAGTCCTTTTATCTTAATCTAGTTCTAAATTTTTTGGAACTTGCCACCACTTTATTACTCTATCACTAATGCCAGGGTTTTTACTGTAGAAAAAATGGCATGGGGGAAAGGGAATTCTGTAAACACCTATTCTTGGAAAATAACAAAGGAACCTGTACTGAAGCCAGTCAGTATTAAAAATTACAAAATAAATTTTAAAAAGGATATGAAGCCTTATGTTACTGATACCAACCAAAGAAATGCTAACTAATTAAGGGTCAAGGAAATATTTTTCCTAGCATTTGTTTATTATTCAATAAAAACCATCAGTTTGTCTTAACTAAAGCAAAAGTGAAGAGCACTCCTGCAGCACAGCTCTAATGCAGTGTAACTCCTACAGAAGCTGGCTTCAGAAAAACAGTACTTAGCATATTATTTATTTAAACAAATCAAACACATTTGAATGAGCAACTAGCAGTGTTTAAGACAAGAAATCTCAGCAGTGTTTAAAAAACTTGGTGCTAATGACTAGGATTGTTTAAGAAACACTGATCTTTGCATGGAACTATTAAGCTCTGTTTTGCTACCATTAGTGAGTAGGAAATACATGTTTGTACAGGAGGGTCATGCTTCAATAGTTTAATCTTTTACTTAGGTTAATTTTTATTCAACATGGTAATGGCTTAGTGCACTAACTTTTCACTGTTCTTTTAATTTTCCTCTGTAACTTTCATGGTCAACATTTTATTAGTTTTACCAGAAGAGATGCTAAAAACAAGTTCTTGCAGAATTTTTAAAATCTTCTCATATTTTGCTGGTAGGAGGATCCTTTTGCTGAGTAATTAAACATTGGTAGCAGTCAAAACTGGTCTTATTTAAAAGGTAAATTGCCTCTGACCTGACACTGTTTTTCATCTTGTCAAGTAGTAAAGATGAATATAAGCACAACTTTTTTCTGTATTTATGTTTCATAAAGACCAGTTGGCAATGCTTCTTAGCTGTGCCAACATCTTGTGTTGCCTCTACAAAATGAAAAACTTTGTGATACATACACCTACATCATGACCTTTAATAAAGTGGCATGCCAGGCCATAAACTTCTACTTCTCCAGAAGCCAGGAGATGCAAAATTGCTGACCAAACATGCTGTTTAGTTCATCCAGCTTCCACATACCTCCCACTGTCTGATCTGCAGTGTTCCAACAGCTGCAGTTATACACAGTGGAACTAAAATTCTGTATCAACTGTATTTAAAGTTTCAGATAATTCCATGCAAATTGCCCAGTAAATCATAATTTATCATGTTTGTTTTTGTAGAAGTACCTAAAGATAAAAGTTGAAATAATAGACTCATTTCATAAGAGGTATCAGAAAGATATAGAAATAAATACCTTATTTCTCCAAACAGCTTATTATTTTTAGCATAACAGGGTTGATTAAATACAAGGTGAGATTAAAATCTCATACACAGTGCACATTTACAAATTAAATGTGTGTGAATTACTCTATATAGAAAACTAAGAGCTCCTATATACAGACTTTATACTATTGAAGGCTAGCAGAAACATCAAAAATGGTTTTATCTGAATTTTAAGAGTATTTTGCATAGTTGTGCTCCTAAATTTAAAAAAAAAAAAAAAAAGGCCCCAATATTGATAAAAACATCTTCATCCTCCCTTCACAGAAAAGGAAAATGCATCTTCACAGGAGAATTGTGTGACATATTCTAGACAATAAAATGTTAAAATAAGATCAACTGCCCTGTGCATGTACTTTTTCAGTTGACTGACCATAAGGGGAGCCTGTGAAGATTAACTCAGTTTTAGATGCCTAATTAGTATCTGTCTCAATCTTGGAGATAATCCCAAATTTTATGTGTCATAGGTACACAACTTGTTCCTTTATATTGGTGACTACTGGGTTTGCTCTAGGTCAATTTTGTTATATTGTAGCATTAAAATAAAACATACATCATCTATTACAGATGAGGAATGCAGCCTACATCTATTTTATCTCTCCATTTTATAACTTCATTTTAGCTTTGAGAATGGAATGAGCATGTGAGAAATTACAGCAGAGAAGCTGCTAAAATTCATAGACTGGAGAAACTGAGAAATGCATTGCTGGCTTTGAGAAGCAGTCGCTACTGTGGCTTATAATGACCTGCCACACCAATTTATTGTGGTACAGAAGAACTTGGACATGACAGATGAAGTTCAGACCGATTATAACAGCAGCAAGAGAGAAGTTTCCTATGGAACTTAATAACTGGAGGGGTGGGGAGGGAGGGCAGGATGCGTGGGTGGATGGGCAGGTGGGTAACTGCTGCCTTCACTGCAATCATGGGGAAGTGAAACAAAGTCATGACACCTGTCACATGGGTCACATTACTGCCCCACTGTCGACTTATTTTTTCCTCAGACTGGGATGGTGGAGATTTTTTTTGTCTCTGAGTCACCCTACAAAAGTTAAAGCAAACAGGCAAAAAAAACCTTTGCCCCTTTAAACGCAAGGCCTTTGGGAGGTGCTAGGGAGCTGCCTTTGCCGCAGTACTCCCGAGTGTCACTAAGGGAGCAGCCCACGGCCGCCTCTCGGGCTAAAGCTGCCCGCGGAGCCCGGCCCGCTCCGGCCCCGGGCGCTGCTGCCTCCCGCCGGAGCCACGCACCGCCTGCACAGCAGCTCCCGCCGCGCTCACCCAAGGGAAAACACCGGCTTAAAAGCATCCGTTTTGGTTTAATCTGGGGATAATTAGAGGAGAGGAAATAATTCTTTTCACTAGGCACCAAGATTAATTGAACTGCGATTTAAATGGCCTGAATTCCTGTGCAGGAGCACTGGAACAGGCTGCCCAAGGAGATTGTGGAGTTTTCTCTGTAGACATTCCAAATGCACCTGGCTGTGTTCCTGTCACCTGCTGCAGGTGACCTTGCCTTGGCAGAAATGTTGGACGATATGATCTCCAGAGGTGCCTTCCAAACCTAACAATTCTGTGATTCTGCAAGTTAAGGGCAAAATTTTTGATACATGACTGAAACAGAGTTTTCTAATGGCATGCAGGCCAAGCAAGGCCTGAGGAGACTTTTAGTGAGACCTCTGAAAACCAAAAATCCCTCAGTAAGATGTACCCGACTGTCTACTATCCTCAGCAGCGAGCCCAAGATGCTCTGGAACTCAATAGCTACTAGATACAAAACAAATGGCTAAGTGCCCAAACTGGGATACAAAGTGCCAAAACAGACTTAACACTGTGAATTTTACACAACTTAAGTTTCCAATTAAAAAGAACAAGGGCAGCAGAAAACAGAAATCCCAAACTAACTTTCAAAAAAATTTTTTTCTTTTTTTTTGCATGAAAGTGGAACAATAATCAAGTGGATGGAGTCTGAATTCCAAGTTTTCAAGTGAAGAGAAACAAAGACAGTTGCTTGAGACCTAGAAATCCAAGAAGAGAGCTTCAGATTACTGTGAGAGTAGTATTTTAATTGTGCTGTGCCTCGGGTAACCCAGGGAAAAGATTTAGTAAAAGAAAACACAGTAAGACTGAAAGCAGCATCACAATACAGATTTTAAAACATCAATGTTACAAATTAGTAACAAAAGGGCACAGGGTAGGTGTAGTGAACATGTGCTTTAGACAGTCTCCAGCCACTGGTCAGAAGAGGAAGTACTTTAAAGATAGCAGCCAGGCACATCATAGATTTTTAGCTCTCAAAATGCCTGAAAAGCATCCAAAAGTATTTCTACAGTGATTGTGGATGTTTGGTCACAAACAGGGTTTGACAGGCAAGAACAGACAAATGTCATAACAGAAGGTTATGACTGTAAAGGTTTCTCTGTAAAGCAAAATTTCTTAGCAGCATTAGGCAGCAGTAAGCGAAAAAGAATGGGGGAAAATAATTTTAAGTTTAAATCAGTCCAAGGATATATCTTCTTACACTGAAGTCAAACAGTGACAAATTAGGTATCAGCTCTCCAAAAATAAAAGGTACTCAATTTTATGCACTGGAACATAAAACACTGCATGAGATGTAAGTTCTCTGATGTACATCTGAGAGTCCTCTGGTGAATATATATACCAGGCACCACAAATTGATGAAATACCAAAGTTTGTAGTGTTACAAATTGCTACAATCTATTTAAAAAGTTATATTCCAGGCAGAAAAAGCCACTATTATGTTAATGCAAGTGAACTTACAGAGTTAAGCAGCCATCCTTCACAGAGACCTCACAGACATTACTTCACAACAGCAGATATAGTGAGCAACGCACCATTAATAAGGAGGCAAAATCACCTGGCTCATGCTGGCTTGAGCACGGACTCTGATATGATTTAAGCACAACAGAGCAAAGGAGCAAAACGATTTCATGCTCTGCCATGATAAACCATTTATCAGCTACTCAGCATTTGGAGTTAAAAATGCACCTGGCACTAGTTTTCTGTATAAATTTCCACAAGTATTTAAAGCAGCCTTTTTACACACATCCAACATTGCTTTTTTCACACATAAAGGATGCTCAAGGGAAAAAAGGTTATTCAGTAGTATCTTTAGAAACTAACAGTTTCTCAACATGTCAACTGAGAAGAAGCGTGGTACTCAATGTCTAGCAAAATCTGTAGAAAATGCACCCTGGCAAAATTACACTAGACTAACAGAAAAAACAAACCCCTTCCTTGGTTATTCAAATTGCTTTGGAAGAGAAATGCAATAAAAATATATGATGTAAATGAGATTATTATTTTCTGATTATTTAGAAGGATCTACTAAGGAGGCTTTATGAAGTCACTGGCATCTCTGCAGCAGCATAATGTTCCAAGCTAGCCCTTTCTATTAGAGGGCTGATGCCTAAAACTGTAGACTGGAACAAAGGGGTTTTTTCCCTTTTCCTGAAGGAAAAAAAGTGCTACATGACATAGAATACTACATGAGGAAGAACATTTAAGCACTACTAAATGCTAAAGCAATGAAGTAGAATCAGACCAAACTCCTACTGTGATACAGCTATTCCAACTTATGTATGAACACAGCATCCTCACTGAGTGGTAGTTGGGGTCTGATTAAACAAGCAAAAAGACCCCCAAGAACGATGAATCCACACAGAAGTTCTCAGATATCTGAGAATGGGGGATGATTTAGAAGAGCAAGTTACTGTGTCTTGGGTGCTAAAAATTAACCAAGGTGGCCCCAACAACAGGCTTAAATACAATCACTTGGCTGATGTAGAATTAAACATGGAACCAAGTATCTCACAAGTGTAACAGAAGAAGAAAAACTATTTGTTTTCACAAATACCTCATGTAATATTTTTCATAAATACTATTTCATTAATACTTCCATATTCACGCTCACCTTACTAGATTCCTAAAAGAAAAAAAATATCCCTCTCAAAACTACCAAACTCTAACACATCCATTTCTATACTTCGCATTTTCACACAAGCCTTGTATGGATTCACTTGACCAATGATAAGCCTCTGACCTCTTGAATTTAATCCGAGCACTCCATCCCTGTTACATCCTGATCTAAGACTAGTCCATTTGTTGACCAGGAATGCACACCTGCCTTCACTGACTCCCTGTTTTGTCAGTGCTGTTTTGTTGCTTTCAGTAGAAAATAACAGTCAGATCAAGTTAAGCATAACATCCTGATCTAAGACTAGTCCATTTGTTGACCAGGAATGCACACCTGCCTTCACTGACTCCCTGTTTTGTTGCTTTTAGTAGAAAATAACAGTCAAATCAAGTTAAGCATGTTCTGTTACAGCCAAACATGTCACCTTCTGTAACTTTTATTTCCAAACAAAATTAACAGCAAAGTCCTGATGAACGAGAAGTTATCTTCGCTATCGGTCTTTAGGAGGATTAGGATTCTTGCGTCTTCTATGATACCTAAAAGAAAAAAAATGTTGCAGTGAGCGCAAGCTGTGGACAGCCTTTATTTTTATTTTATTTCTGCCCCCAGTGAGTGATCTGAGGTTACACAAGGAAGTGAAATACAAGACACACGAGCACAATCCATCACCACTCATTAGATGTCATCTCTGTTGTTTGTGGAGTTACATAATGCTACTCATTTCTGTTGCTACATCTGCTACAAGCACGCAATAATCCAATCAGTTCTACAGCTGAATAGGCACAAAGGCTGCTGCTTATTCTTAATCCTTTGTGTGAAGTTAATTTTATTACATGGTCAGCCTTGCCTTTGGCTAAAACGACAAAGAAGTTCAAAGGAGCTGTGCCAGACTGTATGTTAAATAGTGTAATATTTTGTAGAAAAACTAAAAACCAAATTATTCTGAACAAATAATGAACCATACTTTCCTCATAATTATGCATGCTAAACAAGGCAGATCCTGTCTGATCTTCATCAAAGTGACAGCTACCCTTTGGTCATAAAAGTCCTATCTTTCCATTCCTTGTATCTACTCCCAAAGCACATTAATTAAAAAGTTTTCTGTGGACAACAACAACAAAAAAATTTGCCTGTATTATGTCTCCGTAGCTCTAAAATTAGCAGCTATTGAAAGATGGTGTAACATGGAGTGGAAGGGTGTAACACACACCAGAATGCTGCTTGTTTACATTAGTATACCTGAATGCCCAGAGTTCTTCTTTAAGCTCAATCATGTATAGGTGCACCTCTCCTCCTCCTCCATTTCTGAATACAAGGCACACCAAAGAGCACTTTTCACCATTCCAAATGAAAAACCTCTACTATTAAGTTCTGAGAATCATCCCATTGAGATTGCTAAGGAATAGGCAATGCATGTTTCCAAGCTGTATTTGATTATGTCCATTGAGGGTATTTTACATATTAGATTCTGGTATGGAACTTAGTAAATGACTCAAAGCAGTAGCTAACTGGATGTATGAGAAATTTCTACACTGTCACATATTTTACAGAAAAAAAGTGGCAAAGTCTATCAAAGGAGCAATGTTTAAAAAACCCTCATTAAATACAGTCTTCCATTTACCCAACACTGCATTGAAAATTTTATGTAGCAGCCCAAATGCTAGAGGTATCTTGTCTGACGTAACTCATCCTAGGTTGAATCTGGTCATTAAATTATTCCTGTATTTCCCTTTACTTCCCAAAGAACAGACAAATTGAAAATACTTACTGTCCCACAGGATACCAACGATGTTTTGTTGTGTAAAACATTTTGCTGAGCTCTTCAATTGTAGGACCTCTACTGTTCTTTAGCTCGTTTTCATTCAATCTGGATTTTAAAACTTGATCAAGGTTTTCTTCTTTATTATTCACTGGATCTGGCCGTGGTATGGGCTAAGAAAACAGCAATGTATATGTATGTCCTGTTTCTCCTTGTTTAATTTAATTGAGAAAGTAAAAAAGCCAAGCTACATAAGAGTAATCTGTAATGCTATCTAACAGCTGAAACAAAAAAAAAATACAGAAAAATACCTGCAATTGCAGTGGCTGTTTATTGTCCCCACCTTCCCAGCTCGAATGAAACCATGCCACCGTGGAGCAGGTATGTCTAGACACACCTATTTACCCCAGGTTCTAAAGCTGATGACCCTACCCCTAAAACCAGCATTCCTCCAGTCAATGTTTCAGATCTCAATCTTATAATTCACTAGCTGAATCATCAGCTTCAGTTCCACTAACACAAAAGTATCCACACCATTCCCAGTCAGAATTTTATTCACAGCAACCATCTGTCACTATGATATTTTATGAAAAACCTTTGCCAGGATTTTTCTCCTATTCTAGCTGAGAAGCCTCAGAAAAGAAATGTAAACAATAACTATCTGATGGCTGTGGAATGTGCTCTGGACGTTGTTTACCAACAGGTGCATCTTTCAGTGGTCCATGTGAATTGTTTCTACTTAATGACCAATCATGGTCCAGCTGTGTCAGACTCTCTGAGAGTCACGGGTTTTTATTATTCATTCCATTCCTTTCTAGCTTTCTGATGGATCCTTTGTCTCTATTCTTTTGAGTATAGTTTTAGTATAGCATTTTAATATAATATAATATCATAACATAATAAATCAGCCTTCTGAAACATGGAGTCAAGATTCTCATCCTGGGGACCCTCGAACACAATAATCATTGCTAAAAATCTTTTAGAGGACATGTACCTTTGAGAAGAATGTCACTCCTAATTTTTTATGCAACAGGTAAGACCAAGTTGTTTGTTTCCAATTGAAAATGTAACTACTCTACTATTACAAGTATTTTCCCTTCTTTTAGCCTTTTACACTTGTTTTTCTTGAGGTATGTGCAACTGACAGATTTAAAAATATTGCTATGCAATTTGCAGGCAAAAAGTGCTAAAATGGTTTAGGTTTCAATGGAGAATTTTCACACTGGGTACTTCAGCAACACAGCTGCCAGCCGCGGTATTTCACTAGCACATGAGAACTGGAAATTCAAACAAAAAGTGTACTCTAGAAAAATTTATCTAGGTGTTAAACCACAACACTACATTTATTTTCATCAATGTAAACACATTAAAAGTACTACTGATAGATAAAAATTAATATTTAAAGTTCTTTGTGGCTTTTATGAACTCAGTGCTGAATGGAACTTAAAGTTCAAGTTGAAAACAGTAGCAGCAGTATTTCTGTGTATTCTCTTGTGCAGTAGGACATGTGAACCATAACCTGCATTCCAATCATCCTCTCTGAGTAGTACCCATGTAGACAGACACTATTTTCTCTGTAGTGCACAAGTGTTTTAGTACCTTGTTTAATTCTACTAAAACTTCTGTATGCTGTGATACCTGAGCTTTTCTCACTCTACAACCTTCCCTCAATTCACCTAAGAGTAAATTCCTCCTTGTGGCAGCAGCTATATTCATCAGTCATTTACTTCACAGATGTGCTGATCACATACTAAAAAGTATTTCAAATTAAAAAACGTGCTCTAAAGACTCAAACCTATGAATTACTAAATGCCTTTACAAGAGTAAGAAATATAAATGTGCACACTTGGACGTACTTTTGTATGCTCGTATGGAATCTCAAGCGAAGGGTGGTAGCAGACAATTGTCTTCGAATCGGATGTCACTGCAAGTTCCACTTTGCTATAAAAATTAAAAAAAAACTCATAACTTTCAGAAGTACTGAACAGCTGAGCAGCTCATGTCCCAAAGAAAACTGGATTTGACCCTGCATTTATGAATCCTTAATAGTCTTCTATAAAATAAAGGTCACAAATATTTGATCCAAACCTCCAAGTTTTTGTTTCCTCAGTCATCTTCCTTTTTTAATGGAGAGGAAAAAAGGGGCTAAAATAAATTATTAAAATAGCTGGAAATATGAGTTGGAAAAAAAAAATCTTAAACACTTAAATAGTTGCATATAAAACTCTGAACAGATGGGGATAATGATCTCTAGGGCAGCATGGCTTTGTAAGATGTATGGGATCTGTAATGAAATAACAGGAAACAAAGCTCTGTTTGGGGTTCTAACTTTTCTGTTATGTAGAAAATGCTGGACAAGAAGTCCTACTGAGAGTTTCATTGTGAGAATGTAACTTTTCTCACCTTCCTTCCCCTTCCCATGACACATTTAGCTTCCTAAAACTGTTGTGACATGAATTCAGTGTTTCTGACTATATTTGTACCATCTTTTCCCATTTCTACACAGATTTCCCATGCAGCAACACAAAAACATCTGGACCTTGTCTTAACAACAAGCATCAATGGAAATTACTACTCTAAGCTAATTTTGCTCTTCCACAAACAAAACTGCAAGGGTACTGGGAGTCATCAACATGTTTAGAACAAGTCCTGCATGACTTTTCATTACATTGAAACATTAACTTCACAATCATTACTATCAGAGACAGTACTTTAGCTGATATTATTAGATATATCCAATATTGGTAATAGATGTGTTTGATACTATTATATGATGACTTCAGGACAGAAAAAGAAAGTAGCCCTGGAATAAACTTTACAGGAAAAGGCCACACATCAAAGCACGTTTACATACCAATTGTAGTCTTCAGGGAGAACTGAGTATGTAGATTTATGGCAAGCATGATACACAGCTCCATCTGCAATAAAAATCCAAGTAAAGAACTCTGATGTAGAAACAAGCAGAGCTGTGCCAAATTAACAATGTTTACATTTTCAATTTTCATTGTGTCTTAATCAGGGATTATAATCATATTCAGTTTTAGACTAACATAATGCAAATACTCTCTAAACAGAAGTTCATTTTAGTACACAGCTTTCTAGCAGTGTAATCAAAAAATCACAGTATGCAGGCAGCTATGACCTATACTTACCTTCCTAGTTGCATTGTTTTCCTGAGTAAAACCACTATATGAACAAAACACCTATAGAATTCACCATTAGGAAATATCCTTTATATATGTAAAGAACCTTAGGACTTAGAGGGAAGGTTGTAATTTCATTCATAGCAATATTTATTATAAAAACCAAGAGGGGTTCTGACTGGATATGTAGAGAAATGTTTTCCTCATGAGGACAGCCAGCCAGGGGGATTCAGACTCAGGCAGGTTTGTGAGTTCTCTGTCCTTGGAGATTTCAAAGACCCAGCAAGCCCAGAGCAACCCAATATGACTGCAGAGCTGACCCTGCTTTGAGCAGGAGCTTGGATCACAGACCACTCAAAGTCCCTTCCCCATGGTTTGATTCCCATTTTTTAAATAGAATCAGAGAACAATTTGGAAAAGACTTAAAGATCCAAAAGTCCAAACACAATTAATATAATGTGTTCAATAGCCCCTCACACAGGAATCATCCTGTAGGCATTGCTTTCCACAACAATGCAGGTATGCGGGCCTGAGGCAGGCCTGGGATCTGCCTGGAGTTGACTTCCACTGAGAACCCCCCTCCTTTATTGCCACAACCTGAGACAAATCCACATGGAAGTTTCTGTGTCCAGTAAAGCTTTTTCAACAACTACGCTTTTAGAACAGAATTATGATCACAAGAAACAAGTCTTCACATGTTCTGAGCTTTCTCTTAAGTTATAAAAAGGTTTCAACTTTATCCGACATTATTTTATTTAGACCATCTTTTCATACAAGTAGGATTCTTCATGGCTGCTCCTACAACAGGGAGAGAGCATACATTGTGTCAAGACTGCAAAGGCTGAAAAAGCCAAGAAGAAACTTTTGTGTAGCTATTGTCCTCTCAGAAATATTTTAGATGCAAACTCTTAAATTCAGAATTACTGTCAGCACTTCCACTCTTCAGTTCTTCTAATTAAACTATTCTTAGTTATTAAGGAGTTGAGTTCTGGTAAACTTCAACTAGGCTGTATGTCTTCCTAAAATTTCTTTCCTTCCTTGCCTACTTCCCTCTAAAATGTAATATGTCTATTCTATTTTCTCCATTACTGTCTTTTCTACCACCTTTACTATCTTCCCTATGTCTTTGTATTGACATCTAAAACACGGACAAAAATCTAAGAAATAGTACTGCCTGTTTCTACTTGTTCTCTGCTTACGTTAAGTAATGACATTTTACTATAGCCTTTTCTCACAATTTTTCTAAGTCTGAAAAAATCAATTTAAATCTTCAATGATAATCAGTGGTAAGAGGGTAGTATTTACAAGCTAATCAATAAATTTGGGGAGCATCCTACTTGGACCATGAAAGTTTTAAAAGCACAAAAAAAGAAAAAAACCAAATAAAGATATCCTTTAGATTACTATTAGAATACAGCACGGACTGACAGACTTGATTCTCTGTTCAAATAGAAAAATCACTTCCATGTTTCCATTACTTTAAACAGTACAGGAAAGAGGTTCTCAAGGAACAGATTTTAAGGACTTCCACAATTTCATCACTACTTACTCTGCAGTGGGACCTGCCTACAGGTTGCTGCTGAACGCATCCAAAGGAGGCTGGACCATGCAGTTCTAAGTGACATTGCCATGGTGACAGCAGAGAGGAAACCAGTCCTGGACAAGACGGAACTCAAACAACTTTTTCTCTGCAGAACACCCTCTGAAAGAAACCAGTTTTGTAACTATTCAGCATACAAAAGACTAACAATTAAATTTCTTGAATATCTTAAGCAAAAAACAAATGTGCAACATAATTCTTCATTGTCAATTGTTCAGAAGTCCTTATCACTTAGGATAATGGTACCTGTCTCCTTAACAGTCAAAAATAGCACAAGACTTTATTTACTGAGAAAGAGTCTTTGAAGGTTCAACTTTCAAAAAAAGCTTCCAAGCCTGTGCCTTCTCACAGGCTTTTCTACTGGTACTCACCCACCGAAAATTTGCATCCTTCCTTCTGCACACTCCATAAAATTACTCATGAAATATGTTTTTCTTGTTAACAATAAATATATAATAACAGTAAATGTCATCAACCAGTACAAAAATAGAAATATTTACAGACTACACTTGCTGTAGTTAAAAAACTCTCCAAATGCAGTTAATCAGTTTCATCCATCTCAGCAATACACCTGAAAACTCAGAAACACCATTTCGAATACCTTAAATGTTACCCAAAATTTCACAGAAGCAGGATACCTTATGTTTTTACTGTCTATTGGAAAAAAAAATTTGCTTTAAATAGAAACTTACAATGAAACCTAAAAAATGTAATTGGAAACAGTTTAAAGACATACACGTTGAAAAAAAAAATAAACAAGAACCTTTCAAAAGTACTTCATATTTTGGGCTTCAGAACATCATCAAAAACGTGCATTTTCCAATTTCGACATATAATTATTCAGCATTCTTTTTATCTGTGCCAATGCTGCTGAAGTGAGTGGAGCACCAGCACTTACAGAGCTGCTCATAACTTGCCCTCAGAAGCTCATTAACAAAAAGGGTGCGAGGAACGCGGCGGATCCCGGTGCAAGGACAGGGGTCAGCCCGTTCCCGGCCCCACTGCGAGACCGCTCCAGTTGGAATGGAACAGTCCCATTCCTGGGACAGCGCACAGGAAACTCCAACGCGTGTGCCAGCGACACGCGGGAGCACGAAACCCGAGGCTTAGAACTAACGAAGACATTCAGCACTACAAACAAAGTCATTAATCCTCCAGAGCAAGCATGAGTACCCGTTACAAAAGTCCTGAGCGTGCCGCCCAGCGCCCAGCCGCTCCGAACGCACGCACTCTCGGCGGCCTTGCCCGGCCTCCCCCGCGGGCACCACCAGCCCCGCCGGCGGAAGCGGCGCCACGCGCCCGTTCCGGCTCCGGCGGCGGCTCGGCCCGCGGCACGCCGGGACTCGTAGTACGGGCGGAGAGCGGGCACCGGCACCGCCTCCGCCCGCCTCGCCTCCCGCCCTCAGCGCTGCTCCGGCATCAGTGACAAGCTCTCAGCCGCTTCGTAATAATATGGCTGCGGGAAGAGCTAGGCCGGGCGGTGCCTGGCCGGGCTGGGGAGCAAGCGGACACACAAATTCACGGAATCGGTTAGGTTGGAAAAGATCTCTGAGATCATCCAGTCCAGTCTTTGACCCATCTACACCTTGACAGCTAGGCCATGGCAGTAAGCGCCATGTCCGGTCATTTCTTGAACACCTCCAGTGATGCTCCACCATCTCTCTGGGGAACCTGTTCCAATGTTTAACAGTCGTTCCTGTGGAGGAATTCCTCATCAGATCCAGCCTGAACCTCCCCTGGCGTGAGGCCTCTTCTTGTGCTGTTGTCCAAAAGAACCCAGATTCATTACCTGGTGTGCAAAAAGTCAAGAATTAGCCACTGTGGACAACACTGTCACAGGTTGTCCAACCCCCACCTTATTACAACCTCTTTTCAGGTGGTTGTAGAGAATGAAGAGGCCCCTAAGCCTCCTCCAGGCTAAACACCCCCAGCTCCCTCAGCCGCTCCTCATGGGACCCTTGGTCAAACACTGACTGCGCACTCTGGTGGTCCCTGTGCTGGGAGAGTCTTGGGAGCTCAAACCCACAGTGGAGGCACTGAGGCAGCCTCAGCATTGCCAGCAGCTGCTCAGCTGAGGGAGGGGGCACAACGCCCCAGCAACAGGCAGCAGTGCACCTGCCGGTCCTGGGAATGTGCCAATGTGCCATAGTCTTATATTAGCTGCAAAATAACTCCCTCCAATCCCATAATTCGAAGGGACACCTCTAACATTATTGGTTATTTCACAAGCAGGCAAGCATAGCCTGCTTGCTTTCCAGCTTAAATTACACAGTGGCTGCAGCAGCTTCCTCTGTTCAGGCAGCCAGATCTTCACTGTACCCGTAACAATCTTCCACAGGGAAGGCCTGTGGATTTTATGTAGATGAAATTGCACGTTTCCAATATTCAAGGCATACAGAAAACTCACCTGAATGTCTCAGGCACACTGCTGCTCTGGGGCTACCTGCTGTACTTCTTTCATAGACTGAGTCACAAAGCATTTCAAAGACAAGGTTATATTTACACAACATTGATAAAAGACAAGAAGAAAAGACAAAAATCAATTGTCTGACCTGCTGCTCTAGTATCTGGAATGGCTCCAACACTTTAGGCATTTACACATCCACAAAGCCTCTAAGTCACATCAGCAGACTGTGTCTTCATTCCTGTCACAGCATTACCCTTTTGGACGCTCTTGGTTAGTGTCTCCTGAAAGGCTGCAACCTCTTCCAGAAAGCTTCCAACGATTGCATCTTTTCTGGTCATTAAGTGTGGCACTGCAATTTTGTGTTGTCATCAGTGAAAGCCTCACAATTTCAGCAATGTTTAACTTTGGTCTGTAGTTGCAGAGTTGTAGTTACATTGATAATTTCCAGCAGTATAGCAGAAGCATAGCCAGAAATCAGTAGTCAAGAGCTGATCCATTCCAGTAGTGTTGACAAAGGTTTCTTCTTGAGTATTCTTCTATATGAAGGAAGATGGAAGACGTCCATTTTGGGGCTCCCTGCAATATTAGATTCATTACACCATAGAAAAAGGGGGCAGAGATGGGCCCAAATGTTTTACATACTACTTAAAGAGATGCAACCAAGGTGAGAAATCACAGCTCCACTACAAAGCTACTCCAGATTTGTGGAGACAACTCACTTTGTAATTCCAGCAAGTTTCTGTGTGCAGATACAGAGGCATCTGATCACAGAAGCAACACAGTTCTATGTATTTTCTGCTGTGTACTAGCTTATGATTCCCACAAGGAAATCCTTGTACTGTATAGGATGAGGGCAGCATCCTATACAATGAAGCAATCATCCAATACAAGCAAGACAGTGGTTCTACTGATGGACAGATAAAACACTCTGAGGATTTTAAACTCAAGGACTGAGTGCTGAAAAAATAAAATGGCAATAAACTGTCTGAAACAAGTAAAAGAAAGGAATGAATTTTCATTTAAAGAGTGAGCTTCAGGAATGTCTTGTCCATAGGCATAGTGGGGGTAAACAGAGTTATTTCAAAGTCAGTGTTTTCAGGAGCAATTTGTGACAATGTGGAAACTTCTCAGAATTCTTTACTTTCTCCTGGTCAGCTGCAGTGTTACACACCTGTATGCAAATGCAGTGTGTGCTACTTGTGTGTTTGTGTGTGAACCTCTGACAAGTACATTAGGTCTTAATTTCCTTCCTAGGAAATACTAAGTAAAATTAAGGCTTCTCTGAATTTTCTCAAAGATGCTTATGACTTAATTGTCATAGCTTCTTTAAAAGATTGCCTAAACTCAGGGATAATGATGACTACTTGACAACTCTGATTCTTAGCTGCTTTCTCAAAAGGGCATTTTTCACCCATGCAGAAGACAAAAATTCTTTGCTGTGCATTGGAAAACTTGAAATTAACTCCCTTCACAACTGAAGACCACTGTAAATTTCACCTGTCTTTTTTTTCCAGTGCAAGACACTTTCTAAAAATCTTCTCTATATGGAGCTGCAACTTCTAAAAAAAATTTAAAAACCTCCCTAGCCCCTTAGAGATTGTCTCCCAGTACAAAATACTAAAACTTGATATGCTTGAGTATACTAGTCATGATTACAATATAAGACTTCTGTGGTACTGTTTCCTACATCAATTTATTTGCTTTAATAAAGACAATTTTTACTCTTCAGTGCCATTTGTACCTCCTGAGGACTGCATACAGACACATACTTGCAGGTACATGTGCTCTCCTCAGACACAAGTTTGAAAAAGTAGAGTTTCTAATGTTCCTGATGAATGTGACCAAAAGTCTCCTAATGGTGGGATATTATAGGCTGGTGGCATTGAGTTGTTAATGGCTAAGAAGCTAATTCATTAATGAGATTGTAAAGATCAACAAAAGCTTTAATTTGAAGCTACAGTCTGTACTGCTTGTTTTCAATGACATAGTCTTTTTCTGCAAGGATTTTATTCTGGCAATGTGCGCTTTTAGAACATGCTGTAATGACAAATCTTGTAACTTAAATCCTAGTTCTGAGAAGCTGCAATTGAAGGTACCACAGAACTTTTCTTTTTATTTTTTAAAAGCTGAACCACATACCCTGTTAGGCTTCCAGGCTATTTTTAGGTGGTTTCTATAAAAAGATTTTTAGGAGATAGTAGATGAGGTCTACCCCCTCCCTGACGCATAATGTTCTGCAAGTGTATTCTTAGCAGCATGTTCTGACAGATTACAGCTTTCCAAAGGGAGATGGGAATTGCTTAAGGACAGCTCAGAAGCGTGACTACACACTTCTCCAGCATGTCTGGAGATGGGGTTATTAATAACTGCCAAGGCCCTTGCCTGCCTCAGCAGCTTGTAGACAGCAAAGAGGGGAGTCGCTCAGTCTGTATTCACTCAACAGGAAGGCTGCTCTTTCCTTTACCTCTGGAGATACTATGGAGGCACTGCTGCTGAGTTCCAGACCTCTGGGACTTCATGTCTCTGGAAACCTGGAAAGTTTTGTTTCTAGTTGCTCTCTTACTGAAGATAAACCACCAACCTGCTCTTACTCCAACAGTCAGTTACAAACTTCTCCAGGAAATGCTCCAACTGATCAGATGGCTGAGCTATAGTCAGGTTGCAGACGCTATGTAGTCATGAGGGCAGGACTATGTTGGTTGGCTCTGTTTTAGAAGAACGAATTTATAAATCAGAGATATCATCTGTACTAGCATGGGTTTTGTGTGAGCAGTTGCACACACAGACACACACACACACATGCCCAGCCCTTCTGAGAAATGGAAAATTAGGACCTGGCTGTTCTAGCTTTTTTGCTGCAGTGGCATATTTAGGAAATTGTTTCTTAGGAAAAGCATTCAGGTTAGATCATTGGCAAACTGAATATAATACACATTTATTGTTTTAATAGAAACCAAGGTTTCAAAATATTCCTAGGAATAAGCATTTGGCTTCCTTTATTTCCTTTTAAACTGGCAAGGTACTACACAATCATACCTAGAAGTGGACCTGAATTTGTGAATGGATGGATGTGTTTCATTGCAAAGGTTGTGTCTTAACAATAGGGATAGATGGATCTCTACTCCTGAAATGCTGTATCTTAATTTATATAAGGTTATCCTATAAATGTAGAAATCAAATTTCTAATGAGACACTGTAGTTTAGTTATGGTCTTAATTCTCAAGTTTTCTCAAGTTGCATTGTAGACAGACAGATTTCTGTTTTAAGTCAGTCTGTAAACACGCAGAGTAAACATCAAGGCTTATGTCAGTAGGCCCTCTTTATTCTTTAGCATATCTCACACCATCTCATCACTGCTCCATCCTGTTACTGATAAGGAGGAAGCTGAAACTGTAAATAACAGATGACAAAACTACAGTGCCTCAGCAGTCATATGCAGCCTAAATAATTTGTGTTCCTGTTGATTACCATAGTTCAAGGAAACAATATTGTCTCTATTCAAGCAGCCCCTTAATGAAAAAAAATCAAAAATTATTTGCTACAATGAAGGCTCCTACTCATAGCATCCCATTTTGATGTTCTAAGTTAGTAAAACATATAACTGGTGGGGCTTTTTACTTCTCTCAGTACAATTTCACCCAGTCCTGCCAGTTCAGATAATTCTGAAACTGTCCAATGACACTTAAAATTACTGCTGAATGAAAAACACTGCGCTTCTGTGCCTTAGTTTCCCCCTTTGCACATAGGCATCATAGCAACTCTTGTGAAATTACTCTGGGATTTACTGAACATTTTTAATACAAAATTTGGATATTACTGTGAATATTCATTCTGTATGTGTACATACATACATCTGGTTTTTGCTGTAGAACATATTTTCTACAATACTTGGCAAAATATGGAAATGCTTTTATGCAA